ACAGTGGTTCTCAAATTATAGTGTCTCTAGGAGACACCTGGAAGACTTTGACAATCCAAAATAAGCATAATATGAATATAAACATTTCAACTCAGTATCTGCTAATAAGGACCAATTTTTCATTGTATTTCTAAATATTATAATACTATTCCCTATCTTACCTCTGAATCTCAACCCTTATAATAATAAACCTTTGCTTTCTTAAAAAAAAAAAATCTTTCATGCATGGTTTCGTTTTCCCTTTGAATTACTCTCAGCTGATCAATGCATCAGAGGGCTCAGCATTTCTGTGCGGCTTTAGGGTTGTCTTGCTCATTTCCCCTGAATGGCTAGATGTCCCCTTCCCAACAGTAACGCAGCCCCTACCCATACGGCAGGACCTCCCCACCTGTTTTCTTGCCCCGGCCCCTTTCACTGGTTCCCAGTATGGCGAGGACCACCTGGGTGCCCACAAGGATTCAGGGTGCTCACAAGGAAGTGTCAGGTTCAAAGACGACCAAAATGATTCATTAAAAAATATCAAAGGAAGGAAATTTATCTTCCTTAAGGCAGGTCTAATCACAGGAAGAGAATGATGGAAGCAGATCGTTATAATGAACAATTCAGCCCCCAGGCATCCGTGGGTCCTGGTCCCAGCCATTCGCACCTGGGAGCCCAGGCCCTCTGTCCCTTGGGGGAGAGCCGAGGGGTCTCTCACAGATTCTTTGCTTTGTAATCAGTAGAAAAGTCAACTCTATTTCTCTGCTCTTCTCCATTTAATAACACAAACTAGCTTTTAAATAGATCTTTCCCGGAGGCAGGATGCCAGGATGAAGACCAGAGGCCTCGAGCACAGCCCCTTCATGGAGCAAAGGCTCTGGCTGCGTCCCTAGCAGTGCTGCGGCTTCTCAAGCATCCCTGAGGCATTTGCAGTAGCTTCCCCAAGTTTCCCTGGGCCGCTGGACACTCAGAGGCCAGGCTGAGCCCTGGAAGGACAAGCCCTTCGCTGCTACAATTGCCTCTTCCCCACCATCTGAGCCCCCGCAGGGCCGAGGGGCCCCAGGAAGCGGAGCCCCAGCGATGCCGTGGCCCTGGCTGTGTGTGGCGCTCCTGCTCCAGGATGGTGCGGTTGGCAGGGGGGGCAGTCCTTGAGCCTCCTTGCAGTGTCCCCAGTTCTGTTGCCCTTGACCAAACAGACATATGCTCCCCTCCCCCGAATGCAGGCTTCCCCTTGTGCCAGAGGCTGAGGGGGCTGTGCAGAGAGCCGGTGTCACCAGCATGGGTGCTCCTGGCTCTGTCATCTGCCAGCGGCCCTGAGCGTCCTCCGTGGCCCCATTCCTTGCCCAGACCCACAGACACGGTCTTCCCATCTCTGGCTCATACATGAGCCAGCACCTGTGCTAAGTGCCAGGATTTTCAATTTCATGTTTCAGATGTTGGATTTCGGCAGCTTCGGGGCTCAGCAAGGCCGCAGCAACTGAGAGAGGACTGCCTGGAGGCCATCTACAGGCCACTGGCTTCTCGGCAGGTCAAGACGTTCTGGATAAAACGGGCTTCGTGAAATTTCCAAGAAGACTCAAACCCCTCATGCCCTCCGAGATGCGGCAGAAGGGGGAGCAGCTCTCAGCCAGCACAGTGGGCAGAAAAGGTTTTAAAGCAAAAAATCTGCAAATGAGTCAGGGACTTGTGAAGGGGGAGGATTGTTTCCTCTTTTCCTTAATCAGGGTCTAAGTCTGGGGAGTTCTCCGTGCACCCCAAGATGTGAAACCTACAGTGAGCAGACCCAGCAGAGGCACCGCGTGCTCTCATGTGCGGTTGGCCTGGCTGCCCGTGAAGTGCCACTGTCGTCAGGAAGGGGGAAGATGGCGTCCTCGTCACGGGGAACGAGCCCCTTGGGGTGGGGGCTTACCTGAGTAGGTCCACTCGGACCCATGCTGGGCCAGGGCCCCCAGGAGGAGCAGAGACAGCAGTGGCACAAGAGTGGTCATGGCGCTGCAGGTCTGGAATCACGACCAAAGCTGGGGAAGCACTTCTTTTAAAAGCCAAGAAACTGTAAATAACAATTGACCGGGTCTGGTGGCTGACCCACCCCTTGCTGCTCCCACTAAAACAACACCACCTTCCCCACAATGGCCCTTCTGACTCGGTGCAGCTGGCCAAGTGGTGTCACTTGCCTGATCTCCTCCGGCGTCATGACTGCGTCCAGGTAGCCCGGGGTTTGGGTGTTCATTGCCCTAACTTAAGAGCACGCGCTCGAAGGGCCAAACAGTGTGGCCTTTGTGAACAAGTGGCTACAGAAGGGCCCAAGGCAGCGGCGGGATGGGAGGCCTTCCTGGAACGAATGCACTTCCCGGCCTGCGTCCTTGCAGAGCTGGGGGCAGGTGAGGCACAGGGCCTGCAAACCCTAGTGGATTCCACCGATGACACAGGCCACCGCTGCAGACTAACGGCTGCCCTCAGAGAGCCATGCTGGAAGCGGCCTGCCCCCCCTCCCACCCGCCCGTGGGGGCTGTGGGCATGGAATGGAAAGTCCTGGCTGGATGCCGTCACGTTCTCGTCCTCGCTCTTAAATCGCTGGTCGCCCCGAGGGCCCCAGCTCAGAAACCACATCCCGAGGGTGTCTTTGGGCCGCGGGAGCTGGGGGTGCACCGCGTTCCTCCGTGGGATGCACCTGTTCACACAGCTGCAGTGCGCCCGGTCACACCCGAGCCAATCGGACACGCCGGATCAACGGGTTACCTAATCCTCCCACGTGCACTTGGGTAAACAGCTCTTGAAATTAGCTGAAGGAGAAACTTCTGAGTTTATTCCTGCTGACAGCCCAGCATTTCCCATGCCCTTCAGAGAGGGAAAAAGGCAAAGGGCAGGCAGGGGCTTGCTGCCCTGGCCAGATACAAAGGCCGGCCCTGTTCTGGAGAGCAGACTAGCTCCTCCTTCCCCACCCCAGCCTTGTCTATCTCATCACTCACTTTTCCCTGGAGTCTGAGGGATGCTGGAATGGCAATAAGGCAGCACGAATTAAGCATTATTTGGAGGTTAAGAGCAAAGATTCTGAAACCAGACTGGCAGGGTTCAATCCCTGTTCTGCCCCCTTGTAAGCTGTGTGACATTGGGCAAGTTACTCAACCACTCTGTGCCTGTTTCCCCATCTCGAATCGGATTTAATGATAGGATTCAGCAACAAAATTTGTATGTAGTACTCAGAGCATCACCTGGTGTGTGGCAAATGGCATTATTATTTATTGAGACCCTGATTTTATGAAGAAGGAAGTGACTTCTCATTGTCACCCCGCCATTAGTGAGGGGCTAGTGGTAAAAAAATGAAGGACTCATTCTCCAAATCATGGAACTCTTTTCCACATCTTCAGAAATTAGAACCCCCCCACACCTCTAGCCTTGGCTCAGTAAGTCACACCCTGCCTGCCTGCTTGAAAGAGCCACTTTGTAGGCCCTGTGAGACCCCACCTCTGCTGAGGACAGCAGGGCTCCTTGGTATCCACCTGGCAGGAACACACACACTGAGCTGAGCTTTTTCTTGGGAGTAGGAATTGGAAATCAGGGAAAGAATTAGGGAATGGAGGTGGAGCCCGAGAGGTCAGGGTGTGGTGGAAGCCCAGGAGGTTTGGATCACCTGTGCAGGGGGTGCTGGCAGAGGGAGGAGCTATGGGGTGGGGGGACTGCAGAGAGGGAGGAGGGAGGGCTCCAGGGGCAGGACCCACCCAGCTGGAGGGTGCCCTCTGGCTCCACTGCCCGTGGGCATCTGCTGTCCTGGGGTCAGTGGTTTGGGAGCCCAGGGCGCCCTGGTGCTGCTATTGCCCCACAGAATGCTCGCAGTAAGGGCACAATTATGTTTGTGACTCTGTAATTTCAGCAACCCCACCAGGGAGCCTTATTGCACCATATTCGTCCCACAGGTCTGCGTCTGCCCTTTGGCTCAGACCAGAGCCTGGGTGGGTTGGCAGTCTGTACAGCTGGCTAATTGGACAATGGGTGGCTAGAGAGAGTACTTAAGTTAATAAGGTGATCAGATCAGCCAGGACCCATCTGCTAATGAGGGCACATTCCTAGAGGAAAGAGGGTCCTCCCTTTCCTGTGTCACATATGCCAATGACGTAGCACTGAATCAGGCAAGGTCATCTGTTGCCTGCTTTCTGGTTCACTGTCTTCAACCCTAAAATTCTTCATTAGCTTTGAAAGTGTGTTTCCTCCTTGCATTTGTGGAGCACGGGGTTTGGTTGTTTGGCTTTAGTGGGTCACATTAGACTCTGAACCTGCTCCTGCCTTCAACAACCCTCTAGCTCATCAAGGCCGTATCTTACTATTTACTCCTATCTTTCTAGGGCCTATGGTTTGAGCAGCTGAGATGAGTTGACAAGTAGACCATTTTCTTCACAACATCATGGTAAAAGTGAGAAAGGAACTTTGTTCTTCTTGGTGCCACAAAAGCTCTTGGACAAAGACCCACTGAGGCAAAGAAAAGGAAGAGGGTGGGGAGTTGTGCCCAGCCCAGGTGAGCACGGAGGCCTGGTCAGTCCAGGAGAGCCAGGAGGGGCGACAGCCCCAGGCGCCAGGTGAGCAATGCTCAGGTCGGTCGGCGTGGAAGCACGGATCTGCTACCCAAGATACCCACGCCTTGTGTGTCATACAGAGAGGCCATTGTTCTGTTTCACTCGGGAGCTTCAGCTCTGGAATCCTGAAGTCATTCTGGACAAGTAAGTTTTCTAGTGGTTAAAGTCTTCTATATAAGCACCAAGACGTTTAATCCATTTTGGATGAAAACTTCTTAAATTTATCACACTCATGCCTCTTGCCTGCTTTTTTAAATAGATTAAGTGCAACATGATTAAGCTTTTCTTAATGACTGAGGCCCATGAATATGAAAATCAGTTACTATCGTGCATTGTAATGTATTAATGCCCACTGGGCCTTCAACTATGTGAGACTGTTCTCCCATCTTGAAATATCCCCAAGCTAGTATAGCTTTGGGTTTCTTATATCAGATATTGAGGGGAGAATTAGCTAGCTTAATTGTTAAAGCAACATACACTTTCATGGGTATTATTCAAATTATCAAGATCCATAAGGCCAGGGCCCGACCAATCAGACAGAAATGAGACAGTGCGGTAGCAGGGTCTGGAAGCCCCCTGCTGCACCGGGTTGACCCTTTAGTCATTGGTTATATGGCGGTTGGGAGGTTCTGGGGCAGGGCTGGGCAGCAGGGGTGCCTGAAGGTCCTGTGCGTGACTGTCCATCCTGTGTAGCTAGCATTGCTGCCTTAGCTTGCCAGATGCCTCCTGGGCTTGTCTGCCTTTCTTCATCTCCTGGCTTCTTGTTTGCTGTGTTTTATCTGCCCAGAGCTCAGGTGACTACCCGCCTTAGAATTCTGTGTGCAAGAATGGGCTGAGCTGAATGGAGCACCCAGAAGCTGCACAAATACAAACATACACAAACCCTGAAACACTTTTTTTGACTCCTCAAACAATTTTTATTTCCTTTCTGACTTTCAGTTATGTTCATGTAAGTGAAGCATTCACATAACTAGACCATCATGTTTAATGACCTACTTGCAGGATTCAGTCATGCCCAGCCCCAGTTCCCCGGGGACACCATGCTCTCTCTCACCAGCCCCCTGTGGATGAACTCCCTGATCTTCTAGACTATCTCCTGTCTCATCCGTCCCCCTAGAACTCAGCATCTCTCATTTAGGGGTGTGTGCCCACAGGCATTTTCCTCCGCCATACCTACCTTCTTCCAAAAACCCACATCAAAACACCCAGACCAAAACCCCGGTAGAAATCCTCTTCTCTAAATTATTAATTTAGGTATTAACAAAATAGGAACCAAATACCTAAAAACATTTACAGCTTAGCCTGCCGTTAACATCTTGTGCCCCTTCTCCGGGCAGACTCACCGCAGGACCTGCTGTCGGAACTCGCTGTGCCCTCTGCATCGCCCGCGGGCTGTGCCTTCGACTGGCAGCATCCAGAGTCTTGCTTATATCCCCTGTACAGACTCCACCCCTAGTTTTCTTCTGGAAGACAGGTATGTCAGTCTTTCAGCTCCACCCGGAGCTGTTCAATCAGCAATTCCAATCCGCCTTCACTCCTACGTTAGGCTCAAGGGGCCTCCTTCTTCTTCCTTGACCTCCTTGCCTCCCTCCTTGTTATTGCATTTAGGGCTCACCTGGATAATCCAGGATAATCTCTCCCATCTCAAGATCCTTAACAGAATCATATCTGCAAATCTCTTTTGTATTATTCAAAGGTTCCAGGGATTAGAATGTGGACATTATTCAGGGGGCTGTTACTCGGCCCACCCCAAGGAAGGATGTAGAGAACCACCAAGATAAATTAAACCATAAGTGGCTGGAAATTTGATTTAGGCTTTAAAGAACAGAGTAACAAGTCAGCAATGTCATGAAACACACCAGGAATGGAGGGACAAGATGGGCAACAGCTGACCTGTCAGGAGAATACACAATTGCCAGGTGCATCTAAGCCCTTAATGGCCACAATGGTGTGACCAGAGTTAGCTGGTTGGATTGGAACAGCAACTTGAGAAGGTATCGGTTGCCCTGAGAAGAGGGGGTCAAAGACCCGATGTGGTCAAATCTTCCATGAATAGGTGGGGCAACACCCTTCAGTGTGTGTGGCAGGAGACTGAAGAGTCAGCTTGGGGCCTGTGTCACATGCCCAACATGCGGGGGAGCCTCTGCATCAGAAATAGAGTCCTTTGCTGTGTGCCCGTACAAACCTCTGCAATATTGATCTAAAAGTGAAAAGGACATAACAGAGCACTGAAATTTTAAATCTTCAAGGTTTTCCCACTTCTGCAGAGGCAGTCTAGCTTACATTATACCAACCCATCCACTGAGAACGCTAGAAACACTGGGAAAATCATTTGTGTGAGAATGTCTTTGAAAGCACCAGAGATCACCAGGCATCTACAAACAAGATAAGGTATCACCAGAGATTGGGTTTGTCCCAGCAACACAAGGTTGGTTTAACATTTGAAAATTAATGTAGCAAAAGTAAAAGGGAAAAAGATACTGAAAGTATTTCTACATATGCAGAAAAATCAATTGATGAAACTCACCA